TGCACACCCTCCTTATCCACTTGGCGCCAACTTCTGGACACCCTCCATATCCATTTGGCGCGAACTGCTACACACCGTCCTTACCCCCTTCGGCGCGAACTTCTTCACACCGTCCTTATCCACTTGGCGCCAACTTCTGGACACTGTCCTTATCCATGAGGATGGTCGTGCAGATCTTCCATGTTTTTTTTTTTTTTCTCTTTTTCTTTAATATAAAACTAATATATATTCTTCTCTTAATTTCACCTTTCACTGTCTACCTGCCACTACTCCTAAGCCTATACAGGAGGACCCCTGCAAGCATAGCTACGTCTCACAATTAAGGGGATGCATGTTGCCCCCCCCCCCCCCTCTAATGGGCGGTGGTCATGGAGTAGTAGAGATGAACTCCATGCAAATGACACAACAGAGTGTAAGTATTACTCAATGTGAAGAAGAAAGACGGAATAGACGAAGAGGAGGAAGAGAGGAAGAATAGATAGGCAAGAACCCCGAGCACATCAGCTCATGGAGTAGGGTGGGCCCGCCGGTGGGGTGGGGGGAGGCTAATGCAAAGACCGAGCATTTGGCCAGTAGCTGCACCTCCCATCAACTTCCCCCACCCCCCATCGAGTAGCAGCAGTGGATATGGCCAACACTCTCCCACACACCACACACAACCCACTCACGCTCACACTCAGACCCGCGTTAGTCGCAGCATGTTTTTTTTTAGCTATTGTTTCTTTTTTTTTCTTTTTTCCTTTTTTTGTGCAGAAGCTGGCGGACTATTCACTGCGTGGGTGTCGCGCGAACCCACGTAATCCAGTATGTCCAGACTCCGGCGATCGAAGGCCGCCGCATTATCGTCTTCTCTTCCCAAGGGAAAGGCCTCTTATCCGCTTTTCCGGTCGGCCTCTCGTCCTTTCTCCCAGGCACAGGCTTGTCATCGGCTTTCACGATCGGGATCCCGACGAACGGTCACAACCGACCCGTCTGCCCAGGGAAAGGCTTGTCGGTTCTTACACGCTCGCGATCTCGACGGTCACAACCGTCCCCTCCGCCCAAGGAAAAGAAACAGACGAGACGAGAACAAAAGAAGAGAGAGCCGGTTTCCAGCTGGCTCAGGTCAAGGTCAATTAGTGAGCTGGAATCGAGCTCTGCTCGTAAGCGAAACTGGCTGATGCTGCCTGGATAACCCCGGGTTGAATTGTGAGGTCCCCGGCCTCGTTCCATTGGCTGTTTTTTATAAAATCTCATGCTTTCCAAAAAAAAAAAAAAAAAAA